TTTTAAAATAGGGAAAATAAGTTTCTCTTTGAGTTCTTGAATAAATGTTCTTTGTTTTGTTTTTAAGTCTCATTTGTAAGTGAGATTGCATAGAAGTACAAGTTCTACAAAGTAGACTCTGCAGTGGACTTTTCAGGGCCAATAGTGAGAAAGAATCAAATGGTCTTAGAAAAGCCTTTTAATGTTATGCTATCAAATGTTTAAATTAGGAAAAACTGAAATTTATTTATGCACCCTCTATATACATCTAACTTTAAATATTTTTTCTCCTAGCTATTTATTTGCCAGTATCACATATGGCTGGCTGCAGACACAAGGGGTATCTTGGTACTCATTCCTGGAAACCCTATGCTCAACATCATCATCAGCACTTTCATATTTGTTTGTGTGGCACATGAAATCTCTCAGATCACTAATGATCTTGCACAGATTATTATTCCTAAAGATAACTCATCTCTCTTGAAAAGGTTGGCATGTATAGCTGCATTTTTTTGTGGACTCCTCATCTTATCATCCATTCAAGATAAATCAAGAGATTAGGTTCCTAAAATCCTAAAAAACTTAAACTCTTCAGGCTTACTCTGTATCTGCCTGGAGGAGAAAAGCGTCTATCTGGAGATATAAATGTATCTGTAAATATAAACATGTATGGCAAGAGAACAGTTCTATGACATCTGTTGAACATGCGTGATTGTATATATTGGAAATGTACATATCCAATGTGAAATACTAAAAAAAATATTGATGAACTAGAATGCATTGTATAGGATTGCATGTGAAAAGTCTTTTCTACTGGATCTATATTTCCATTTATAAATGATTTTAAGTTAACATATGAAGGCAAGGAAATCATTACCTTTCCAGCAAAAAGTATAGATAATTTAATTAGCTTAGTGACACCACTGAGTGTTTTAATATTACTAAATTTGTGGTAATAAAACTGTCTGCACCTATATTCATCATGGAACTTCCTACTTCATTGAAAACTTTCTTAAGAATGGTTGCAGTATTGTTTTCTTATCATATGTGCAATGATGTGGAATGATAAACAGTATGCCTTTAATTTATGTGTGTTCATGTTCTGATGTTATGTGTTTCCTGAAATGATTTTTCTTCCTAACTGTGGTTTTCAGGTATGCAAGCCTAAATCTTTGTATACTTTGTCTTATAGAGTTGTTCTAATGCTCCATGACAGGGTTTTGTCATTGTTGATGTTATCGTTGCTTCTTTTTATAAAAAGGCCAAATTTCTTTCCAATCCAAATGTTTCCTCAAGCTATACCAGTGTAATACCAGTTACCCTGTGGATCCATTGAATATATTTTCTCCCCACTAATTAATTTTTGTATATTATTTCCAATGTTTGGAAAGCTCTTTATAGCCATTTTGGTATTTTCCCCCCACCCATTTTTAAAAAATATTTATCAATCTAAACTTGTGCAGTATAGTAAACATTCAAGTTGTTATGATTGAGATGTATTACCATAAGTAGAGTTTTGAGTAAACTGGTGACTTTGGGCAATAAATATTTTTGTTTTGTTTTGTTTTTTTTACAGGCTAACTATTAGAGGTACACATTTATTTATCTGTTGTACAGATTTGATTATGATGTTTAATGTTTGAAAGATTGCACTTGTTTGTTTGCTTTTACTATGTGTGGGGTTAAATATATTTTCTGTTCACAGTATGTGAAAATATGGAGTAATTTAAACAGTAAATAAACGTTCTGTGGATACTTATTTTTGTATTGGCAAAGTATCAATTAAACTATATGTGTTCTTGTTTTTAAAAAGCTGGATCCATTAATGATTGGTTTAAATTTCTAATTCATTTCCTAAACTTAAATTTGCTTTTTCAGACTCTTTATATGTAGGGATAGATCACTGATAGTTGGATAAGGAATACTGTAATTATCGGAGCTTCTGAGGATTATCTGCTTTTCACCTA